TTAATTATTTCTATTTTTAGTAGAGACGGGGTCTCGCTCTTGCTCAGGCTGGTCTCGAACTCCTGAGCTCAAACAATCCGCCCGCCTCGGCCTCCCAGAAGAGCTAGGATTACAGGCGTGAGCCACCGCGCCCGGCCTCCTGGCTAATTTTTAAAAAATTTTTTTGTAGAGATAGGTCTTGTTGTGTTGCCCAGGCTGGTCTCAAACTCCTGGCCTCAAGTGGTCCTCCTGCCTCACCCTCCCAAAATGCTGGGATTATATATGTTGACCCACCTCACCTGGCAACTTTGTTCTCTTTTGAGATTGTTTTGGCTATTCAGGGTATTATAGTTTTTAATGGTAGAACACTAGAGAAGTTACCATGAAAATGAAGAATACAACAATGTTCTCTGCGATGATTTTTTTTTATGTTGTTTTATTCAGTGCATTAAAGTGTGAAACTAGTAAGTACAAATTGTGGAAAGGATGAAGGAAAGTTATTTACAAATGCTATGATTTTATACCTAGACAGCTAAATCAAAAGGAGCAAACTGAAAAGCAATTAGGAAGAAGAAGACTGGCTAAATGAAAAACATGAAAATTAATAGTTTCTGTATGTGAGCAGTATCAAAAAATAGGAAAAATTGACTCCTAGTTGTTATAGCTTCATATATACAAAGAAGATGCCACAGTGGTGAATGGCAGGTAAACCTTGATGGCCTGTAGGCCTTTATGCCTTTGGGGTTTAATCTTACCTGGGGATGGTAACTAAGCCATAGTCCTGAACAAAGCTGAGAATTGGGAAGGGGCAAGCCCACATGTGTGGTACTGGGAAAACAGCTTGTAAGTCCAAGGCACAGGACACAGCTGAGCCTCTTGTTTTGAATTATAGCTGTGAAGACCTACCTGCAAGAAATGGAAACTCCAATCTTGCATGGAAATCCAGGGCAGGAAAACTAATGTATAAATGTGTTTGGAAATGCTGAATGTTATAGGGCAGTGGCAAAAGCAGTCATTAAACTACCCCTTAAGGACTGCTCCTTAACCTGAAACGTGGAGGACTCTCCCAGAGTTGATTATGAACTCATACAAAATTTGCAAAGCACCTTACTAAAAAGATGCAACATAAGGAGAATTTACAATTCAAGAACTGACGATAATACAGCAGTCTGAAAAAAGACTTTATTTATTATCCTCAATGCCCTTAATTTTGATGCAAATATTATCTAATACACAGTTCATATTCAGTTTGTACTTTGTTCCAATAATGTCTTTTGCTTTGTTTTTAAACCCTTGGTCAAATCAAGGTTCATGCACTGAATTTAGTATGTCTTTTTAGCGTTCTTTAGTTCAGTTTTCCTTCCTTTTTTTGTTTTTTTGGTGATAGTGACATTTTTGAAAGATAATGAACATTTCATTTTGCCTAAAAGCCTTTTGTTAGCTCCCTTATTAGACAGTAAGCTCTTTTAGAACAAGGAATATATCTCACTTATCCTTGCCAATTAAATTTAATAATTTTATAATATAATAATTTGGGACAGTGTGCTTCAGAAGAAGATGGGGACAGGAAGGTTAAATAATTATTAATACTTTTTTCCTTTTGGTTAGACACACTTACCCAAGGGACCACAAGGATTCTTGTGCTTCTTACATTGATATTTCAAACACTATAATGTACACTACTGTACACTTTGTAGTTTATTTCATTATTAATAATTGCTAATAAAAATAGGCTTTTCAGTCCCCTCCTGTACTCATAACTCCTGCCATTTCCTTTTGAAAATGAGGGATATTTGTTGGTAAAGTGGATAGTTAAAATACAGTATTTGGTTTTATTACTATCCAAGGGGAAAAGTGGTTCAAATTGGTTACATTAAAGATAATTCATGAACAGAATAGTTTAAAAATTTATAAGCATAGAAATATTTATCGTAGAATTCTTATGTAACCAAAGTTCATTTTCATTTAAAAATTGTTTACCCCAGTTATATCATTGAGCTCTATATCATTGTAGAAATAAGTCTTTTGTTGATTTATGTCACTGAGAATACATGATTTGATTTGATTTCTTCTCCCTAGTTACACTTTATCATTTTTCTTTCCAGCTTCACAGGTATCTCACTGTGAAGCTCCCTGGTATGTTGCACTAATTAGAGTTCAAAAATAGTGCTTTAAGGATACAGTGAAAGAAATACTTAGTATACCCTAATAGGAATGCAAATTATTTCTGCCACTAAGCATAGTAGCTTTTTAACAACTGTAGTGAGGTATAATTCGCTCAATTTTAGAACATTTTCATCACCTCAGAAAGAAACCCCAGACCCTTTAGCTATACCCCCATGTCCCTCCACTCCCACCTCCAACCCTAAGCAACCACTTACTCTCTGTCTGTCCTAGATTTCCCTATTCTGGATTTTCGTATGAGTGGAATCATTTGATACGTGGTCTATTGTGACTGACTTCTATTACTTCAGTAAAATGTTGTCAGAGTTCATTATATTGTTATTATTTATCCATACTTGATTCATTTTTATAGCCAAATATTCATTATATTGATATACCACATTTTGTTTATTCATTTGTATGTTGATAGACATTTGGGTTGTTTCAACCTTTTGGCTTTTGTGAATAATGCTGCTATATACAGTTGTATCCACATTTTTTGTGCATGTTTCCACTTCTCTTGGGTACTGTATATATATATATATACACACACACACACATATATATATTGATAGGAGTTGGGTTTTTGGATCATATGGTAACTCTGTGTTAATTGTCAAGGAAATAACTGTCTGACTTTTTGAAAGTGGACGTGTCATTTTACATTCCCAGCAACAGTATAGGAGGGTTCTGATTTCTCCACATTCTTACCAACATTTCTTGTCTGAGTTTTAGATTCTTGCCATCCTAGTAGGTGTGAGGTGGTATCTCATTGTCCTTTTGATTTGTATTTCCCTGATGGTTAATGATGTTGCGCTTTTTTCATGTGCTTATTGGTCATTTACATATTGTCTTTGGAGAAACATCTATTTAGATCCTTTGCACATTTTTGAATTGGGTTCTCTCTCTTATTAGTGAATTGTAAGAATTTTTTATACTGCATGTGAGTCCCTTATCAGATACATAGATTTGCAAATATTTTCTTCTATTTTGTGGGTTGTCTTTTTATTTACGTCTTTTGAATCATACAAGTTTTTAATAAGTCCAATTTTTCTATTTTTTCTTTTGTTGATGGCACTTTTGATGTCATATCTAAGAGTCCTTTGATCAATACAAGGCCATAAAGAGTTACCTGTATGTTTTCTTGTAAGCATTTTATAGTTTAGCCCTTATATTTAAGTGTTTGATCCATTTTGTGTTAATTTTTATATTTGATATGAAGTAAGAGTACAGTTTCATTGTTCTGCCTGTGTATTTAGTTGTCCTGGCACCATTTGCTGAAAAGACTATTCTTTGCCTCACTGAATGGTATTGGTACCCTTAACGAAAATCATTTGACGATAATTATGGATTTATTCCTGAACTCTCAATTCTATTCCATTGATTATTATTATGACAATACTGTCTGATTACTGTTGCTTTGTAGTGTCTTGAAGTCAGAGAGTATGAACTCTTCTACTTTTTTGGGATTGTTTTGCTTATCCTGGTTCCTTGCAATTTCACAGGAGTTTTAGAATCAGCCTATCAATTTCTACAAAGAAGTCAGCTGGGATTCTGATAGGGTTTCTCTTGAATCTGTGGATCAGTCAGAGTAGTACAGTTTTTTCTTGCTATCCAAAGGGCTTTGGTTCCAGGAGCCCCTGTGGATACCAAGATCTGAGGATGCTCAAGTCCCTTATATAAAATGGTATAGTATTTGCTGATAACTTACGCATATCCTATTTATTTATTTTTAGAGACAGTCTCCCTCTGTCACCCAAGCTGGAGTGCAGTGCTGGGATCATAGCTCACTGCAACCTCAAACTCCTGGGCTCAAGTGATCCTCCCACCTCGGCCTCCCAAAGTGTTGGGATTATAGGCATGAGCCACCCTGCCTGGCCTTAAATTCATTGTTGTTAAATCCAATATTTTGTCATTCCCACAGGCAATTAGTTTTGCTTGATTTTATTTCTCTTTTGTATGAATTATACTTTTCTATTTCTTTGCATGCTTCATGATTTTTTGTTGGGTGCTGGACGTTTTAGAAGATACATTGTAGCAACTTTGGGTACTGATTGCTTCCTCGTTGCCTGGATCTTGTTGTTATTTGCTTTTCTGTTTTTTAGTCACTGGAGGGATTTTTTTGTGAATTCTATTCTACCATACCCTCTCACCCTCGCCCCCTAGTGTCAAACCTCTGAATTTGTTCCTCAGAGAGGCACACCTTTAGGGAAGCCTACAGTAGTAACCATGGGATGTTGGTAGGGCTTTCTTCCTCTTTCCCTGACCCTACCCAGCTCTTTAAACTACTATTGATATTTCCCAGTTGCTCCATTGTTTTCAACAATGCTTTAGGGCATAAATTTTTTCTATAAACTAATCCAATCCAATTGCAGTACTTTTTTTTTTTTTTGAGTCAGAGTCTCACTCTCTTGCCTGGGTTAGAGTGCCGTGGCGTCAGCCTAGCTCACAGCAACCGCAAACTCCTGGCCTCAAGCGATCCTCCTGCCTCAGCCTTCTGAGTAGCTGGGACTACAGGCACACGCCACCATGCCTGGCTGATTTTTCTTTTTTTAGTAGAGACAGGGGTCTCACTCTTGCTCAGGCTGGTCTTGAACTCCTGACTTCAAACAATCCTCCCACCTTGGCCTCCCAGAGAGCTAGGATTACAGGCATGAGCTGCACCCGGCCGGCTAGAGAACTTTAACATGGAAGCACAGTACTGTGGCTTAGTTCTTTTCAAGTTGGCTTGGAGCTGTTGCAGTTAACTCTTGGCTTTTCTGACCTGTCTTAGACTTCAAAATCAATAGTCTGTAGCAGTTTTGCTGTCACCTTGAATTAAAATTTCTTTTGATTTATTATGATTTTTTTCTTTCCAGGGGCCACTCAATAGTGAGTCTTCCAACCAGAGCTTGTGCAGTGTGGGGTCCTTGAGTGATAAAGAAGTAGAGGTAAGAAGCTACGTGTATTGTAGGACTTTGCATTTTCACACACCTTCAATCTGGGTTAAAAGATATCGCCGCATAATAACTCCAGGAGCGCTGTTATAGTCTGTATGAATGGTTCCCCTTTGAGTTGCGTGCTCTTTGCATCTGTACAACAATGATATAGCCCTCATGAGTTTTTATTATTATAATCGTGAATGAATCTTGTCTTTTTTTAAAAAAATTTGCTTAGTTGCCATCAATAAAGGATAGAGGTTTGCAATTGTAGTTGAATTAGCTTGTATGCCCTTGAATTGAAACTTGTCCATACTTCAATAGCGTGAGTCACTGGCTGACTTTAGTAATAGAATTTGAAGGGATTTTGTTTGTTTGTTGTGTTTTTTCTGCTTAAATGGAAAATCAGAGTTTTTTAAATTAAGCAAATAACCTGGCTGCATAGATATAGGTCTAAGTCTGCAACCACTTACTTTGCACTTAGATAAAACTTTCAATAAATTAGAGTCAGTTGCTTGGTTATGTAGATCTTTCCTTTTTGGTATAAAAGAATTGGTTTAAACTGTTTTAAAGCAGAAATATTATAACAGTTGTCTGAGAGCCTACTGAATAGTAGACATTCATCCTACATTTGTGCTTTATAAAATATGTAAGCTTTGTAGCAACTCTGATTTACAGATGAATAAATTGCAGCTCTGATATTTTAAGCAGTTTGTCAAAAATTGCATAGATGGTTTGGTTCTAGACCTGAACTCTTTCTTTTACTCTGTTTTAAGAAGTAGGACACTAATTCAGGACTTGTCTGTGCTGGTTATGTCTCCTTATACATTTGATATTTTGTACATACTCTCTATTTTTCCTAATGTGAAAAAGTTACCAAAATGCTAATTGTGACGTATATGGTATTTAACAGACTCCTGAGAAAAAGCAGAATGACCAGCGAAATCGGAAAAGAAAAGCTGAACCATATGAAACTAGCCAAGGTAGTAATAATCTCACACCAATAAAAATACTAAATTTTTATGTGCTTAAATAGAATTTTCTAACTCACACTAAATAATTAGTCTGTACACAGGGATTCCTAACAAAGGTTTGTGTACCTTAAGAGGGTATCAGGTCTTTATTATAGATTTGCCATTTGATATACACTTGACAAAACAGTACCAATTCTTTGGGGACTCTTGTTTTCCCTGTTGTAAGTTACCGGTCTTCTCACCTCAGATTTTTCTTCAGAACAAGCATGTATTGTATAGAAAAGAGGTTTACGTTGAAGTTTTAACTCTGTCTTATATTAGATCAGTGATTTATTAATAATAGATAGCCAGAAATAGCTTCATTTAGATTGCTGTCCTTTCTACCTATTATTCTTCCATGGCAATCTTTTAAAATTTATTTTCAGTTTTTTAGAGACAGGATCTCACTCTGTCACCCAGGCTGGAGTGCAATGGCATGATCATAGCTCACTGCAACTTCCAACTCCCAGGCTCAAGTGAAAAATTCCTCCTTTCACTGCTTGTTTGGGCTTTATTATATGGAAGAAACACTTGTTCTTAGAGTACATTTGTTATTAGGTCTTTAAATATGTCCGGTTTCAAGTGAGAAGTGTAGTTTATTACATCTCAGACAAGAAGCAGGGCAATTAATCAAAGTATGCACCTAAACTGTCAACACAGTTTTGCCATCTTAATGGTAGCTTATTTATGCCAGCAGCAAAGAAGCCCGGGTAGTGAGTGGTGATAAAATCACAAAAGGTGTTTTCCACAGCTTGTTGACAATTGAATATTTTTCCTTGCAAGAAGTGGTCCAAAGCCTGGAAGAAGTGGTAGTCAGTGCAACGTGTGGTGAATACAGTGGATGACAGATAGTTTCTAAGTCCAGCTTCTGTAGTTTGATCAGCCTTGTTGGTGCGACATGTGGTCAAATGTTGTCATGCAAGAGGATTGGCCTGTCTCTGTTTTCCAATCTCGGCTGCTTAATCAAAAGCATCCTCATCATTTCATCCAATTGGTTGCAGTAGATTTCCGCTGTAATGGATTGACCAGGTTTTATGAAGCTATAGTGGCTAATACCGGCGCTGGACCACCAAACAGACACCATTAGCTTTTTAATGATGAATATTCGGTTTTGGACTGTGTTTTGGCACTTCATCTTTATCCAGCCGTGTGCTGAATCCTTGCAATTGCCAAAAAGAATCCATTTTTCATCACACATCACAATACAGTGTAGAAATGGTTCACCTCTATGTCTTGACAGCAAAGAAAGGCAAGCTTCAAGATGATTTCTCTTCTGATGCGCATTTAATTCATGTAGAACCCATTTATCCAGCTTCTTTACCTTGCCAATTTATTTCAAATGATCCAGTGTTGTTGGAATAGTAACGTCAAACCTTGCTGCTAATTCGCGCATAAGTTGAGATGGATTCGCTTCCGTTATAGCTTTCAGCTCATCATTATCCACTTTGGTCTCAGGTCACCTATGTGGCTCATTTCAATATTAAAATCACCAAAATGGAACTTCTCAAACTATCAATGTACTGTGCATTCATTAGCCACATCCTTCCCAAACACTTCATTGGTATTTCGAGCTGTTTGCCCTGCATTGGTTCCACAGTGGAACTCATATTCGAAACTAACACGAATTTTTGACTAATCCATGATTTCACAAAAATTGCTCTAAAAAAAAATTTGGAAGATAATCACAAGCCAAATTGTGCATTTGAAAGACTGAGGATGTACCTTCACAATAAAAATGAAGCAAGATATGTCAAAGTGAAATGTCAGAGATATCAACTGTTAAACTTAGTACTTGAGGAAATCCCTTACTTCATACTTAATAACCTAATAAAAGTAAAGTTGACACTTGAGTTTATATCAATGTATGCAGTATTAAATACATAGTACATTTTAGTGAATGATGATTTACATGTGTATTGGAAAAACTGTACTTACTTTGGTTTCATTTTCAGGGAAAGGCACTCCTAGGGGACATAAAATTAGTGATTACTTTGAGGTAAGTTAAATTTTTAGAAAAAAAAATCTATAGTTTTTTTTTTAAACCTAAGTTATTGTGTTGATTTATGATTTTAGAAAGCAATATTTTGCCTTTACTGTGCTCTTCTACCCTTCCTCCCCATCTTCATCAATCAGTGCTGCCCCATCTCTCAATAAGAGGAAACTATTGTGTTGACTTTCTAAATTTAAATTTATTATGTGTCTTGTCTGTGATGATATAAGAATTCACAAATGAGGTCATTTTTCTCTTGGCCAGATGAGGTTTTGTGTCTTGTAAAGATTCAGGTGGAATGACTTGGAATGTTCTTCTTTCCTCTTCCCTTAGTCCAGCAGAACATGTAGCGAGTTCACTGACCCATCTTTAGTGGTTACTAAAGAAAACACTTAACATCCGCTGCACCACTGTATTTCTGCTCTGTGTATTTTGAGACAAGAAGGGAAAACATTCTTCTCTGATGTCCTTTCAAAACCATGTGTACCTTCAGCTTTCTAGCCATGTGTTCTTTATATCTTGGTGCATTTTTTGCTGGAGCTCCTTCTTAAAAATCTCATTGAAACCATAGCAGAATTTGACTTATGTGGCATTTGCTCTCTAGAGTAAGATGGATTGACTTAAAGGGGCCATATGTAATTAAGACCTGTTTGTTTATTAATCTTTTACTCTCCTTATCTGAAGCATAGTACTGTTTTGAATTATTCATATCCATTTTTCCCTGTTGGCCAGTTTGCTGGGGGAAGCGGGCCAGGAACCAGCCCTGGCAGAAGTGTTCCACCAGTTGCACGATCCTCACCGCAACATTCCTTATCCAATCCCTTACCGGTAAGCATTCACCTGGAGAAATTTGACACCTGTTGTAGGAGACAAGAAGCTCAGGAACACTCAAGCAAAGTTTCTCTTTCATTAATCACCCATGGGGAATGAGGCATTAGGGAGAAAAGTTCATAGTTTTACCTATGAATCACTTACTTAGATTCAAATCTATATCAGTAAATTTGCTTTTTACAAGAGCTGACCCTGTTTTCTCAGTATAATAAATTGGCTCTAAGCCTGCAGCTCAGTGGTTTGTCAAGGAAGTGATTCCAATCCAAATATTAGATATTTATCCTTGTCAAACTTATATGTTCCTATAAGTTCTTTCCCTTTTTAAACTTTGATCAGCTTCTAGTATTTGAGTTATCTCCAGGGCTTACTCAGCAATGCAGTAGAAAAGCTAATGCTATACAGATTTTTGATAAGTTTGTTTCTAGCTTCTAAGTGAAATCTGAAGGTGTTAAAAACATTATACCTAAGTCAGTGGTTCTTAACTGGGGGCAGTTTTGCTCCTCAGGGGAGATTTGTGAATATTCGGAGTCATTTTTGGTTGTCACAACTCGGAGGTGGGAGGGGCATGGTGTCATAGGCATCTATGGGGCTGAGGTCAGGGATGCTGGTAAACATCCTATAATGTTAGGACAGCCTTCCTACAACAAAGAATTATCTGGTTCAGGATGTCATTAGTGCGGAGATTGAGAATTCCTGAGCCAGCTAATGTAGGATTGTGTCAATTTGCTCCAGTGCCTTTGGATTATTTGTTGATAACATTCAAGACCTCCGTACCTAAGAGTGAGCTCTGTCCACTAAGCCTTAGGTGGGATCTTGGGGGATGGGGTCTCCAAGATCAGGAGTTTTCATTCTAGATCTCTGTGTTTGGGAAAGTTGTTTTTCTTTGTCTCAGTAGAGTTGTATAATACCCCTCTTTTCCTGAGTGATTTAGGCTTCTGTGTTGTTAAAGTATTTTAAAATGTACTTCCTCCCCCTCTACTGTCTCATAAAAACATGCATTCATTAGGATGACTAATTATTAATTACGATTGATTGCCACACATGTTTTATTATGGAAATAGAATAAAAACTTGAAAAACAAAATGATCCTTTCTAATTTAATGAAAAATTTGTCATTTTTTACTGTTTTCTGTGTGTGAGTTATATGCAACTTGAAAAATAGTTCTTGTGGCTCCCAAGGTGAGGAGACATGTGAGTTATATACGCTTCATGAGGCCCTGGGCTCAAAACTAGCATGGGTTAAATACAACTCACATGGCAGTTAATGTGTTAAAGTGCTTATGAAAACATAAACTTGTGAAAACAACTAGAAAATTTTTGCTATTATTTTGTCATTCTTGGCATATTTAAAAATAATAGAGATGTTTGATGTGTAGGTCTGTTTGGCTAGATTGAGGCTTGTTAGATAATTGTTGCGGAGGCCTGTGTCTCTATTTTTCTCAAGTTTTAAACCAATTAAAGTTTTAGAAATATTAAATGGGATTGCGAGTATCTATTTGGGACAAATATGTTTTGTAGAATTTCTCAGTATTGTCTATATCTTTTCTTCTTGAAATCCTTTTTTTCGTTTGGTTTTTAGTAGTGTGACCATCCATCTCTCATGTGTCAGCTTAGGTCAAGTCATACCTGAAGACAAAAGGAATGTGTTCAGTGCTCTGTAGACATTTCTGTCAGCTGTGTGAATGTGACTGGGCCCCATCATCACTGTGCAAATAGGAGAGTATATTGGATGTTGAACTAGAAACCTTAGTTTCCCTTTCCATTGTACTGAGAAGCTCTTTATCCTCCCAACTTGTATTCTATGCTTTGTTGTTATAATCACTGATTTATTTATACCACTCAATTCCTTTAACCCACTTTCTCTCCATCATACTTGCCTGAAAAAACCCAACTCTGCTAATTCTCTGTGTGCTTTCCTTGTCTGCCTCTAAGCAGCTCAGCATGGTTCAAGGAAAACACGCACACCCACACTGGCTTGATTTTACCTTCCATTCATGACCACTAACTTCATGTGCACCCCTTGCTGCCTGCCAGTCCTACCATATTTCTAGTTAGTTCTCTTTCCTCAATGGATAGTCCATATTTTGTCTTCTCCTGCAAACCTCCAGTAACAGTTCTACTACTTTAACTG